TCAATCTCAACAAATGACCCCTTCAAAGTAATCCGCAAAGTGAAGAATAACCTGTCAAAGACAATAGGCTTTCGTCTCTTTTTCCCTGCTGAAGCTTTAGCTATTCAGTTAAGGAAACTGGAGCTATGCATACAAATGAAAATGATTCCACCGCTCCTACTACCATGGTAACAACCTTTAATACCCTTAACAAACTCCCTTGATTAACATTAACAGGTATGAGTACGACTAGTCATAAAGTTTGTTAATATTCTGTTTTGTGAAAAAACTGTGTGTAAATGCGAATATACAGCTAAAAAGAAATGAACTTGTCGGTTAGGGCTTCTTCGCTTAACTACATGTTTTGTTTTCATTAGCTTCTAAACGGGGAGTAATCGCGAGTTGAATTATATTATCAAACCAATGAACTTTACTAGAATAAAAAGGAGAAGTTGAGGGGTTGGGCAGGAAGGTCATTCTTCTCGGACACTCATCAGCATGGCTGAATGTCTATCTGAAGAATGCGAAGGATGGTATAACATACGATTGGAAGTCTTAAATTCATTGCATACAGTTAGTTGTCTTTGTTAGTTTGAACAAAGGCTTATTGATTACTTATGACGAAATAAGCAATATAATGTGGTATCAACAGGAAAAAATCATGGTAAACATTTCAGCCTATTTGTTTTGTATGCAAAGTCCAAATCAGTTTAGTCAATATCTAGCCCCTCTATAGTTTACGGCATGCGAAAACGGAATATTTATAGACAGTATGATCTGACTTTACAAACAATTTCTCAAAAGAAATCTAGTGGAGCACTATAGTAGAGTTTGATAATACCTTCAAGAAACCAACTTATGACTGAATGGTTTTCTGCATTTGACAACTGTACAAGGTAAAGTTCAAGTATGTGCGTATGAAAATAACTTTTTAATTGCTACTAAGGCATCTGAAGCGTTAGCCAGGCTCTTGCATCTCTTTTCCACTGGAAGAAAGGTTCCTTATACTATACTAAGACATTCAAGTTACCAGCTGTCCACGATTCCCACTGTAATATCATCTTGAATTTATTTATCATCTTTTAAAAATAGTTCAAGGCTAAACAGACATATTTTTTTGATTTAAAAGTATTGTTATTGATGTATTAATTGATCATGTACTTATGGTCTTTCCTTCTGTACACAAATGACTGTTTTTCATCCATAAAAATTATTGAATTATATTGAGTAACCATGATGTTTCTATTTCTTCTTTTGCTAATTATTCCGATGTAATGCATAGTTTGCAATTTAATCACTTTCCAATGATTGTCTTATAATCACACTTATTTATGAGTGAAAACATGTTATGTTGTTGCGTGTCATCATCATATACTAAAGCATATTCCAAGACTATAAATAGTATAGTTGAAAATTACTTCTTAGAGTTAGTTATGATACATTCTTTATCAAGCATAAAATTCCATATGATTTCTGACGCATATTATTGTCAGTAAAACCTGTTTTAAAAGTATGTCACACTTCACATGGTTTGCACCTTTAAGGCAGAAAAAGAATTTGTCATGAAAAGAAATTTGCGAATTGGCAACTGATGTTACAAAGGATAATGTAAACTATCTACTTAAAATTTGCTTTTTAAATACATTCTTGATATAATTGATCTGTCTACTTAGATTAGAGCACGCAGCATATAAACTCATATATCTACGTTAAAACATCTAAATGATGTTGACATAGAGAGGTAAATGACATCTAACCCACTGTCATTCGCTATATGGGAGTAACTATATGGTGATGATTTATTCACTGCTCATTGAGTAAAAGAGACGAAATCTGTTTTTTTAATTAATTTAAAAGGTATACACCTACAGACCCGAGAAGACATTGGCTCGTTTGTTGCAAATATCTAAAGCTGTCACTATCAAAACTGTGGATATCTTATGAAAAGTATAAGGTTTTTAATGACTGATTATAAAAGGTCATAGAAATACATTAAGACAGATGTGTGCAAATTACTGTTTACAAATAACTCTACGTCTTTGAATGGATTGGAAATACCCTTCATACCTTAAACACTTTAACAACAAGTACAGATATTCATTTTATTCAGTATGTTGCCAGTAAATCACTATTCAGAACTGTCGACGCAATACTTATTGTAATTCCCTGGGGTCGCCAGTGTAATATAGGGAAGGCTTCAACGGCATATATTCATTTTGTCTTAATCTCTGCAATACTCGTCAACTGGCTTTAAAACTGCCGATAGGTTCTCAACTCCACCTCACACAACCTCTTTATGTAGATCTTGGACAACCGACTCGTCATTTCCTATTTGGGATCCACTCGAGAGATGGCCTGGCGCGCGACGTCATCCGACGATTTCCTCAACGTGGCTCTGATCCATCTCGATTATCTTTGGCATAATGCTGAATAGTCGGTTCTTGATTGTTTTGTTTCAAGAGTTTCTTCTGGCTAATTCTGTCTGGCCACCTGATCTTCCTTATGGAGTTTAGGTAGCTGCAGACTAACGTCTTTAGACTGTTGGGAATGCTTCTGGCGATCTGCCAAGTCTCTGAGAGATATATAGGCACTGACCAAACATCTGTTAAAAATCCAAATTTTGTTCTTTATACTGAGTGCAACAGATTTTCAAACAGATTTCAGCGTAATGAAGGTCAGCCTTGCCTCAGCGATTCTAGTTCTGACATCCTCATCCTCCTTACATGGCTAAATAAAGAAAAGAAGTTACCTCTTTTCGATTCATCCCGTTGATAGTGGTTGGTGCTTGTTATTGCTGATTGGTTGGTTATCTCCATCACCTTTGTCTTCTCTGATTTCACTTGTAGTCCTGTTTTTGCTACCTTTTCTGCCATCTTGTTGATTCTTGTATGTAAGTCTTCGAATTAATATGACATTACACATAAATCTTCCGCGAAATCCAGACCTTTTAGAGTCGTCTTATCGGCTCAACGTACTCCTGTCTTCTCGCTCAAGATAAGCCGCATAATCCAGTCCACCGAAATTAGGACTATCATCGGAGATAGTAGGCTGCCTTGTTTTCACTTCAAAGGCTTCTCTGAGGTTTTCGTTGTGGATCATAAACAATAGCAAAATTGGATGATAAAGAAAATTATTAGGAGGTGCGACATTTCTGCACAGCTGCAACAGCTCAAGCATTCAGGTATTTATAAAAAAGCTCAGAATGAAGTATCTTGTCAGTGAAAACAAACCATATAGACTTCAATAGAAAGGTATGAGAAAATAGTGTGGTATTTAAGATAAAGGATGCAGATTACCAGTTAAATATGTACACCACAAATCGAAATTCTTGGAAAATAGTATTGATAAAAGTGGTAGATGTATTTCAGAGTCAAATGTGTTAGGGTGGAGAAAAGATAAATCCGCTAAAATCTTAGGTCTAATGTGATAAGTGGATCGCACTTTTGTTGCGTGAATGATTTTGTGTATGTAAGTCTATAGAAAAGACAAAAGATAACATGAGATAACGGCATGTTATACCTTATAGGTGGATGAATCACAAAGTTTAGTTTTCACGAATGAATTTGGAGACATTTACTTCTGGTGCGTACAATGATGCGTATGCGGTGATAAAATGTGAGGGATATAATGTAACAGTAGAAAAAATAAATATTTAGTATTTTGGAGTCACGTTGATTACTGACTAAAAAACGGTACATCAGTTTATCTAAATTGCCTGCTCATTCTGAACCCGATAGATAGCTGCTAACTACATTTGGTTATCAGTCACGCACACCGTGACTACCAAACGAGTTATACTGGTTGGAAATAATGATTTGTAGATCATACAATATCAGAAATGTCATTTAGATTGCTGTCAGACTGAAAGCTATTACTGTCATAATGTAAGTCACACACACTACGTTTGGGGGTATGAGAGGGAAGTAGCGCTGTTGAAGAACGTCATTGTAACAGCAGTAAAATGTTCCCCACGGACAAACGAAAATCTAGTTATGTTTTCATTGTGCCGTGAGGAGAGAGATTTTGAAATGTTCTCTTCGAAAACTGTACATCCGAACTAAACTTGTCGCTTTCATGTGGCGGTGGTGGGTTATTCAAACGGAAACAACTCTATGGACCACTTCAGACAGACTGTGTGTAAACAGCCTCAAGCAGCTGTCTCCGTGAAATTCTTGTTGTTTTTTCGTTTTCTCTTCGTTTACGTTTAAGCACCTACAGCAAACTCTTCATGTTTTCTTCAATTCTTTGTTATTTGACACTAGTGGTTACCACTAACATGCGCGATTCGCTTTTCACCTTTAAGACTTATTAGTTAGGTATAATTCCACCTCAGTAAAAGATGATGTTCCCACTGAAACTGCGATCTAGCATCCCTAGTTAACTAGCTTAGGACAGCGCCTTGGTATTCGGGACTTTGGATAATGCTTCCAAACTTCAGTAGAAACACATCTGCTCACTAAGTGGTAGGTGCATTCAACCAATGAGTCCGTTACAGAATGAACCACGTGACTAGTGGCCCATTATAAGACACCACAAAGTAAACCAAAACGCGGTATTAACAAAATGAAAACACTAAGTATATAATGTCTATCTGTGACTGTTTGAATACATAACAACAATGACTTGTATTTTCACTGGGAGCACTCCTATTTCAAAATGTTGACGAAATTCAAAAATGGCAGCCGATTTAATTAATTTGCAAACTGATTCATTGTACAATGTACCAGCTGCTCATGAATACAAAATTTTTGGTTTTGCTACGATTTGAATTATGCGTGGAATGTTACAGTACAGATGCCTTGGATCCTGTTGCACTCTTTTGACTACATAGGTCAGCTGTAACACTTAAATTTTCGTTCTATGCAAAATATTAAGGGCCAAATTCAAAATTTTAAGACAGTTCTGAGTTGAACCTGGTTATTCAACTAATGGTGGACTAGAGAAATAAAACCATAAGAAAACCTAACATTTCTAAAAACAATCAATATTGGTCGTTCCTGAATAAAATAAGAAAACGAACGGACATGTTGAAATAGATGTACTTCTGTTTGCAATATCACAGATAATCTAAAAAGTACATTTTCCAGTTGGCATATAACACAACGTGTTAATTTAAAAGTCAAAAAAGATTTGGAATCAAATATATCTGATGATTGCAGTACGCATATTTCCTTCTTTGTCATTCATTTAGCCTACCTACTTCGAATCATATCTAAGCCGACACTAAGTGAAATAATCAGCAATAGGGAAATTACTATAAGGGAAATGATGACGACTGCGATAACACCGTCTCTTCTTGAAGTATCTAATTCACACTCCTCTTCTGAAATATAAAACACGTACATCGATTTAAATTAAAGCAAATTACAACCATTATATATATATATATATATATATATATATAAGAACTAGTCATTTACTTATAAAGAAATTTTCTTATAACATTATGTTGTATTGATAAAAATAAATTTTCTAGCTAAGAACATTATGATTTAATTGTATTATTTCATAAATCTCCAGTCAAACGCAAATAGAGAAATTTACTTCCAACAAATGTTTCATGGACTGGACGAATAAAATGTATAAAAATGACTAAATTTCGCATATGTAGCTAAGTTGTAACTTTTGCACTTTAAGGGTAACCAGATGTTGAATACTGATAAGAACGCGGTTGTAGATGCACATCGGTAACAGGGTTGGCTGACGTCTATTAACTTCAGACTTTACATCGATTTGTAAACGATAGTAATTTGTGATAGAAACCATTTGTGGAATGCTGTAACTGGCCAAATACTACTTTTAATATAATTAACCATTGAATAACATTAGTAAACTCTAAGTGACTGATGACAATGAAACTATTTCATGTGACATAATTACTTCCCTTATGATAACATCTACTTCACACCATTTACATTGATCACTAGTCGATACCTCACATCACAATGTAAAGCGTCCAAGATAAGGATAGTGAAAATCGATATTCTGACTGAAAAAACTGCTAATGTTTTATACTATAATCCTGTCCTGGAAACATGCTTACAACGGGAAGTTTAAGTTGAGCTTTTTCTGCTGAATTATTCTGTTTTTTTTTTATTTCCTTTCTTGAAAGCATAGGCATGAGACTCCAGATCAAATGAGTTACGTAAGGATCCCCATAGCTGGCTTAACTAACCTATTTTATTTTTAATTGGTATTATCATTTCCAAAGTCATGCTGTTAATGTCTATATCTGTTTTCATCACTTTCACTTTTTCCTTAGTGTTGCTTTTTGTGTTTTCTGGTGGTTATTTAACTGGGTCAGCATTCATGTGCCTATTCATTGCTAGTGGATCTGAGCTTCAAGCTTCCTAAAGTTTTTTTGAAATGAGTCTTGATTCAGATTTGTTTTCAAAATGTTGTGTATTCTTCCGAGAAAACTAATTTCGTCATCTGTCCGTATTTTCTGATATGAATGAATTTCTGACATGATATTTGACTGCTATCAGCAATGAATAAGCACATTATTTTTTGTTTTCCTTCACGTTCTCCAGTGGAACATAGGGCTTCAAGCTAGTGGCTTGAAGTTTCTGTAGCAGTGTTTATTTTACAGGATGGGGTTGCTAGTCTCATGCCCAACCTTTCCTCTTCACCAGTATTATTTCTGGCTTAGCGAGGTAAAGGAGTGCGTCGGCCGGGTATCGAACCCCGGACCATGTGTATGGTCGGCGAGCGTCCTAACCGCTACGTCACCGACGCGTAATAAGCACATGGACGTACATAAAACAGCATTATTAATCTGTCCATATCAGTGAATTTAAAACATCCAACATTAGATTACTGATGCTTCAAATTTTCTCCGCCGTTTCAAAATTCAAACGTTTTCACAAAATAAAATACAGGAGACAGAGTATTCATATCGCTACACCTTTTTGACTGCGATTATTCTTTGTTTTATTCAATTAAGATAAGACTGCCCGAAGAAATCAATTCGCAACTTCTTTCTTCAATCATAAAATCAAAATTTTAAGCGGTGTGAATTTCATCAAGGAATTTATGGAATATCAAACAACCAAGAGTGTGCTTTTTAGGCTTACTGGTGTTACCATAATTATGAAGTCAGTAAATGAAACCTTCATATCATATTTAATCTTTTGATTGATTAAACAGGTTATTCTCCATTTACAAGAATTTCAAGTGGTCAATTAATTTACCTGAACCAACATATTGTGTTTTGTAACTGTGACGAAAAGCTTCAAGTGTTAAGTTGGTAAAGACTATTCGAACTGCAGCTTGATATTCGTTAGGTATTTTCAAATTGACCTGTTGTTCCTCATTACAGTTATAAAAATATTTTAATGGTATTGTAAATACTTCGGCAGTAGATCTAGCGGTGACAGTGTCTAGGCAAAAAAAGAGAAATGGAAAGTAAAATAAATAATTATTTCGTGTAATTTTTTTGTTTGACTTAGACTGCAATTTGTATCGACGATAAATCTACTAACAGATGATTACAATAGCGAAATAATATTTTTAATTTATTGCCTTTACTTGTTCAATAATCAACGTGAAAAAAACTCAATGAACATAATAGAAGAAGAAGGCTGTCATTTATTAGTGAAAAACAGTCAACATATAACTCACAGATGAATGTGAAAAGTATGTAGTGTTTTGAACAAATAGGTAAAATATTAAACTATTTGATTAGTTCCACAGTTAACGTCTATACTTCTCGTAAGGTTAGAAATAATCGCTTGTAACAGTGAAATATATTTGTGCTAAATGTTACCAAGCTATATTATAGTCAATCATATTGAATACAAATATGTCGGCAACTGATTAAACAATTATTTATTATTATTGTTTCGTTTAATTCCTAGAGGAACATAGGGCTTCAGCTGTGCGTCTCCACTGCGTTCGGTTCTCTGCTAGAGTCTTCACCTGGCTCCATGTCTGCCCACACGTTTTCATCGCCTCTTCACATGACCTCCTCCAAGTCACCCTTGCACTGACGACCAACTCGCCGCTTCCCATTTGGTGGGTTCCACTCGAGCAATGGCTTGTCTAGTGATGTCACTTGATGGTTTCCTCAGAGTATGACCAGCCAATCCATCTCCATTTCTTCCTGCTTATTTGTTTCACAATCGGTTCCTGGTTGGTTCGCTCCCAGAGATCTCTGTTGCTGATCTTTTCTGGCCGGCCATCTGATCTTGAGCGAAGTATTGAGCGAAGACAGCTGTTGATGAAGGTCTGTAGTTTGTTTGAGATGCTCTTTATGACGCGCAATGCAAGTCTCTGATCCGTATAGTGAGTAGCACTGACTGACTTCACATCGGAGTTGAAAATCCGGATCTTATTTATGATGCTGAGTGCTGTTGACCTCCACACAGACTTGAGAGTAGTGAAAGCTTGTCTTGCTTTTTCGATTCTTGCTTTGATATCCTCGTCAATTCCGCCTGTAGTTTAAACGATGCTCCCCAGATCGGTAGGTGTCTGTTGTTGTTGTTTTTGTCCAGGAATCTTCATTACCTCTGTTTTATCTATGTTCACCTGAAGTCCCTCCTATCTTTGATGGTTCTTCTGCCAACTTGTTGCTTTTCGCTTGCATATCTTCTAGTTTGTGGGAAATCAGAAATAAATCATCGGCGAAGTCCAGATCCTCCAAGTTTTTTGTGTGAGTCCATTTTATGCCTGTTTCCTCATTGCCCACTGTTTGTCGCATTATCCAATCTACTGCAATCAGGAAAATCTTTGGCGATAGTAGGCAGCCTTGTCTTACTACTCTCCTCACTTCGAAGGATTCCGTAAGTTTCCCGTTGTGGATTACTTGGCAAATATATAATTAATACGAATTATAAGGAAGAACTTCATAGCTGAGTATGTAAGTTATTGCAAACCACGCTTACGTTTCAACCTACTTGTACGAGCAGAACGGAAGTAGTCCATTACGATGTGAATTTCCTCAAGTAGTTGGTCTTATTTGAGACTGCATTGTGTGTTTAGAGGAATGCTGTATTAATATTAGATGTTACGTTTGGCTGTATTAAAGGCATGTTATCAACTTTTGAAAACAGCTGGAATATCTATTGTGGTAAATGGTCAACTATGGCTGGAAACACCTTTCGAATGTCTTTATCCTCATCTGGATTTCATAAAACTGATATGTTAGATTTTGCTAATCCCTTTATAGTTATACAAATATTTTACTACTCAGTCACCCTGTTGAAATGAATTCCGGAAATAGGTTGCTCAGGTCCATTAAGTGAACAGTATGAAATTATTGTTATTTAGTGAGTACGGTAGTGTTACTTGAGTTGATCCGTAAAGCTGAGAGTTTTAATTCAGCCAATAAATATTAAGACCAATATTTTTCGTGCACGGAGCCTATAGTTTATAATAAGCATTCAATAATTACTACAGCTAGTAAAGAGTCTTTCTTTTGTGACTTTTAGGTTGATTAAAGAAAATTTAGAAAGATTTGACGACAGCGTAGTTGTTTAACGAATTCATGCTATTGACTTTGGTAAAAACATCATTTTTCATACATCTTTACCATCTCTTATAACAGGTAAGCTATAAGTAATTATGGAGATAACTGTCTTCCTTCTTGACTGATGTATTCACTGAAATACTGTTTGCCTGATCGGTACTCATTGCATTTCGTTTCATTCCGTTTTTTACTAATATTCCAAACTACAGTAGTCAACACAGATTTTGAGCATTATGTTTCATTTATCTCGTACTCAGCTGGAAATACTACACGCATGTTATTGGTCTCAATAATCATTTTGGCGACGAAAAAAATGAAGTCATCATAAAAGTTGCAATCACTTATTAACTATTCAATAAAAGATACTTTATTTTCTCAACACTTAAAATTACAAAAATCGGTACGATTAAAGAAATTGTTTGTTTCACTTAAAATATGTATGAATCTTTCCCACTTATTTTAAAAATATGGCTAAATTTGTGATTAAGTAAGTGGGGTTAGCAGTCTAGTCAAATAATTTGTTTGGCAAAAGACATTGAATGGTCTCTTGCTACTTTCTTCATTGATATTTTCTGAATTTTAGGTCACTGACGTCAGGTCACCAACATCTGTTGGTATGTGACTTACTTATACTGATACTTCGTTATTTTAACCAGCTGTTTCTTGGCTATATTTGATAATGTCAAGCAAAATTGACCACATTTAGATATAACACACATGTGCAAGGGGTTAATTCCTGCAGCTTTTTAAACCAATTTAAGGAAGGACAAAAGGACATCTCAGTTGCCTGATACAACCTTAACATAATTTTGTAAGAGTAACCAAGTAGTCTAATATGAATATACTCAGGTTTAGACCGATCATTACTGAGATAATTCCTTGAAGAAACGACAACAATCAGTGATGTGCAGATGTTAACAGTTGGTGAGTTAGGATATCTGTTGCTGAAGCTAACTGGACAAATGCATTATTGATACAGGGATGGAACTTTAGCACTATGGTAGAGCATAATCCCATTATAGATAAAAGTTATATTTTAATAAAGCCTCATTGTGTTATACAGTAATATTTACAGATGGCATTTTGAGCACAGCTTACTGCTCAAAGTCATATCAAGTTACTCACAGAACTTTGATATGATTACGAGCAATAAATTGTGCTCCAGACGTCATTAGTAAACATTATTTTATAACACTGTGAGACTTCATTCAAATAAAAATTTTATCCATAATATACATAATTCAACTGCTCTCTTATTCAGTTTCTATCAGTGATAATTCTGTTTGCATTGATTAATTAATGTAAAACTATTAAAAAATAGCAAAATTTATCTGTACGTACCATCGTCTCGTGAATAATTCACTGTAATGGAATCTAATGAATATTCGTGGTCGTGTGAATGCAGGTCCATTCCCATCTTCCATGTGTTCATTGCATTTTCTTCATAAGTCAGTATGAATGAAGCACTTTCTCTACTACAATCACCTTCATGCCTAACATTAGTTTCAGTTGTTTTGTTTACATAGTATGTATCGTATTTCCCTTTTTCCTAAATATCAGTGTTTAAAACAATATTGTATACAATTGCAGTTATTGATAAAGTTATTAAGTTTAATAAAAGTGTTCGGTTGCTTACCATATGTTACTTTTTAAAGTGTACAGTACAGATTTTCTCACTCTTTTTTATCCGCATCTTCTCAGAAACTGTTTATCAGTAAAGTAACAATTCTCATTAGCCAAATAAATAAAATATTCTTTGATGTCTTCTCATTAACAAGAATAATAATATCATGGTCACAGTAGTTATATATATATACATGGCTGATATTTATCTTTATGCAGCGAGACCTTGAATTCTCTGACAATAAAAGTGCTGAGGAATTATGTGAAATGATGCTTTTAATGAATTACATTGAGCTAGTTCGACATCCCTTTAAATGAATTATCCCCTTTGGCATGTAGAAGAAAGATATTCAATGAAATTTCAACGGTCATATATTTTAGTAGATTAGGATAATTACTGACAAACCTGTTTGCGCATATGTACATTACAATTTCGACAATTAAGTGAAATTTGAATAAGGCATTTAGAACACAAATTTCGCGAGATGATATCATTTCGTAGTTTCTTTAAAATCTCTTTACAATTAACACTGTTCACAATCATAATAAAATAAAATGCATGATAGTAACCAGGAGACGCAATTACATCACGCATGAAGAATCTTAAATCATTTCACTTTGTGCTAAATATGGCGCTGAAGATGTTGTCCAGGAGGACGACGAAAGCTTCGCAACTAAACCAACCAGCTCAGAGAACACTTTTAATTGCAAATGCATGATAATTACTCATTTATATCAAACAAAAGTATATACTAATGACCAATCATGTTTAAATAAGTCAAGTAGTCCATGGTAGGCGAAGGTTGAAGCTTATTGTTTTTTTGTATACATAGTTTAGGATGTATGTTTTAAATAATTGAAAGTTGGACTTCATAGACCACCAGATTCTAGATCGCTCTCTCTGTGGTAAAATGGCCCGGTCTTCACCTCAAGGTCCAAGGTTTAGTTCCTGCTCACAGTTTACCTTCCCAATGCTAAAGAGTCTCAAACGAATACGGAAGAGCTACTCATCATCAACTGATTCCTTACTGTACTTGATCTCTGACATGGTCTTCCCAGGAACTAGTTGTGATGAGATTATACTGGGTAGCTTGTTAGGTGATTACCGAAATTGACTGGAATTATGAATACCTACGGGCCAAAGCAATGTATAACAGATAAGGGAACAAATGGCTGGATATCCTGTGTTTTACAGGAAGATGAGATTTAAATGGAAAGAAGAAAAGTAAATGTAACTCCCCAACTTAATAAAATACAAAAAGAAGAGTGCGCAAATGCCATATAAATTAAAACTGCAATAATGTGACAGAGATGTCTTATAAACTAGGAGAAGAGAGAGTTTAACTTCAGAACCATGTGTTGTTTTCATAAAATTATGTAGAACGAAGAGAAAAAGCCCCTTTTTATTGTTTCTGTGCTTTAAGTTTTGCTGTGTGTCAAGGCAGGCCCACATTTCACCTCACTGACAATGTCCTGATATACCCATAAATGAACGGACTTATTACCGTACATCATGACCATTCGTTTTTGCTGTCTAAATACTGATATATTTGGCTACTAAGTGAATGATTTTCATTATTATTACATATTTATAAAAGAAAACACCACTGCGTAACTGCTGACCGGCTGATTAGTGTTGGTAAGTGCATTGAAGTAATTTTAAACCGGGATCGTTAAAATCTTAGGTCTTATGTGATAAGTGGATCGCACTTTTGTTGCGTGAATAATTTTGTATATGTAAGTCTGTAGAAAAGACAAAAGATAACATGAGATAACGGCATGTTATACCTTATAGGTGGATGAATCACAAAGTTTAGTTTTCACGAATGAATTTGGAGACATTTACTTCTGGTGCGTCCAATGATGCGTATGCAGTGATAAAATGGGAGGGATATAATGTAAGAGTAGAGGAAATAAATATTTAGTATTTTGGAGTCAAGTTGACTATTGACTTAAAAAACGGTACATTAGTTTATCTAAATTGCCTGCTTATTCTAAACCCGATAGTCACGCACACCGTGACTACCAAACGAGTTATACTGGTTGGAAATAATGATTTGTAGATCATACAATATCAGAAATGTCATTTAGATTGCTGTCAGACTGAAAGCTATTACTGTCATAATGTAAGTCACACACACTACGTTTGGGGGTATGAGAGGGAAGTAGCGCTGTTGAAGAACGTCATTGTAACAGCAGTAAAATGTTCCCCACGGACAAACGAAAATCTAGTTATGTTTTCATTGTGCCGTGAGGAGAGAGATTTTGAAATGTTCTCTTCGAAAACTGTACATCCGAACTAAACTTGTCGCTTTCATGTGGCGGTGGTAGGTTATTCAAACGGAAACAACTCCATGAACCACTTCAGACAGACCGTGTGTGTCCCATGAGCTATGAGATCATATAGCTCTAATGTTTTTTCGTCTCAAGAGTTTCAAGAAGAAATCAATTTCCATGCTGTTCGCAGCTAGGAAGTACATCAAATTTTCCTCAGAATTACCCACCAGCTTTCATTTTCTTCTCACTGTTCATACTATTACATAGGTCAATCCCTCACCTTCTCTGAACTCTGTGGCTATTATTGGTAATCTGAGCCAGGAAAACACTGCTTACAGTCTCTTGAAAACATGCTGCAAACTTCATATTGGTGCTTTCAACGTCAGGACAATGTGTCGAATTGGACAACAGTCATAATTAGCCAGAACTCTAGAGAGATTTGGAGACATGGATTTAGGGTGTTTTGGAAACGCAAATGCAAGACTGAAGTGTATTTATTTATTTAACCGTATCTCGCCAGTACAGATGGTCTGAAAATTCACTTCATGGTAATTCTAAAGCTGGTTTGGGAGTAACACTGAATGCTGGGGTAGAAAAGTATCTACTCTGGACACATCTATTCCTATTGCAAAGGTATGGTTGATGTAAGTGGATCGCACTTTTACACTGTTAAGAATTAAACACATAACCTCAGTGGTAGAAAGAATAAAATATACATTTGAGTCGGAAAATGAGGAAGGAAAATTAGCCACTTTAGAATGTAAAATAACAGAAGGTTTATTAAGCACTGGATTTTATAAGAAGCGAACTCACTCTAATGGATATTTAGACTCTAATTCATTTCATTTATAAAGGCAGGCTTAATTAAGTTTCTAGCAAAATGATCAGCATCATCAAGGAATGCATCAGGAAACCTAGGTAATATGACTAAACGAATAGCAGAGAAGTCAGTTTTCACTGATTACACCTTAAAATTCATCGAGAAGATCACGAAAGCTTACGAGAGAAGTAAAAAGGCAGTGGGACATAAATAAGAAAGAATTTAAGGCATTTACAGTTTTATAGTATGAGGAAGGGTTATCTAAAATTCTTGGCCGACTATTTTATAGCCAGCCTCGAAAACAACTTTCTGTCATCGACTATTAGTGACCTTCATCCTTAAAAGAGATGCATTGATTATACTTTCATCATTTGTGATGAGAATCTTGACCTTGAAAATTTACTTCAAACCTGCAACAATGCCAACCGAAACATTTACTTTACTCTTGAAGCTGAACTCGACAGAATATTCCACTTCCTCGACGTCTATCTGAGAAGAAACGCCAACAACTCTCTGAAAAGGTCCATATAAAAGAAGCCTATATGGAATAGACAATTTATCAACTTTCAAAGCTTCGTACCTCTAAGCAGAAAGAGGAACCTTATACACGCTTTTTTCGCGAGGATTCGGAGGATATGCAGCGAGGAAGTGATTGAAGATGAACTGCATATTCTTCGAGGAACCTTGATGTAAAACGGTTTCTTCCCAAGTTCATAGACAAGAATCTCAAACCAAAAAAGATTTCCGAACAACTTCAAATCGTCCCGAAGAAGATACTTCTGCTTAATCTAGAATTCAAAGGTGACATTGAAACAGAGATCCTTCGTAAACGCATCTGCAAATCTCTGAGGAAAACATACTTGCTCCTGCGGAGCTGACTAATAATAATAATTTTGCTTTATTCCAAAAACAGTATTAATGATACAGCAAGGAATTTTCAGCATTCAGTACAATATTGCATCTAATTTACTCAAAAACGACAACAGCAAAAAATAGATAAACGAAATAATTAATACATAATAATGATAACAAAACGTTTTTATAGGAGCTATGTAGCAATTACAGTATACGATAAGGAGAAAAATACGCATAAAGTATAAAATTATAGTAATAATAGTAATAACAACTAAAATAAAAATAGCAAAGTTATAATTAAACGATAGAAAGGGTGACACCATAGAATTACAGAAAGATGAACAATGAAAGGGTCGATTCACTATGCTAATTACATAGTAACTTATATGTTTCACGTCTAACAGAGTCTTCATCACATAAAATACGGGCTAAATACGGTATTGTAGAATTTTTGTACTTAGTGGTACGAGCATATAATTTCTTATATTGACTTCTCGTTCTACCTGATGAGATACAAGGGGATAGTTGTGAATAAAGAGGGTGCAGAGGGTCTGACAGTACGGTCTTTGCCCACTTTGTACAGGAATTTACGTGTCTCTCGACTATAGTATTGGCGAGCTCACGAAGTGGCAAACCACAAGCCCTACTCACAGCATTTACTACCCTTCGTAATATGACATAGTCTTTTTAAGAAGCCCAGGAAAGATTAATGGAGAACAATAAAGTACAATAGGTAAAACACAGGAGTTTAAAAATTGCAGAACTAAAGGTTGGCTGATACCTTGTTGTCTTAACTTTTTAATGTAGAAGGTAAGACGAAGCATTTTCTTAGAGATCAATAAAATGTAGGATGACCATGAAAGGTCAGAGGAAAGAACTAATCCAAGGTATTTAATGCTTGACTTGGTTTCAATTTCTGTACCATCTATGCTACAGGCATCATGGGAACTACATCGGCCGTACCATGCGTCAAC